ATTTCTAATGCTAAATGTCATGCAGGGTGGCCTGAAAAGTATATAGGACGCGGCTTTGACCGCTTGCTGGCACTGAGCCGTGGAGTATTTTCAGAGTGTTTCGAAACTCTTCGAAAGCTTTGAAACTATGTAAGAAGCACCATAAGTTGTTTGGTCCAAAGTTCATCTGAACTCTCGCCATGAAGATTTTTTGCATCGACCCATTACCAGGAGCTGCCCAATGGCGGTCTCCGAAGTTGTGACTTTGGAAAGCGACTTGGTATTAGCTCTTATACTCTTCGAAACACCTTCGCTGCTCCCAGTGTTCAAGTAGTTGGAGAACTGTGCACACTCACAGGACAGTAACACTCATGGGGCAGTCACCTATAAGAAATAGGATTATTTCTCACAATGATGGACCAGTGTGGGCCACATGCATTCGATCTCAGAACCCGCGATCGATCATTTCAGAAGTCTTTGATAAACAACCATGGTTCAAAAAGTCACCGACCCTATCTGTACTGGTTTTTATAGTAGCTAAGTTTTTGTAGTAGAGTCACTGATAAAATCCAAAACGTTTCTGCGCGAGCTCGAGGCGCGCCGCGTCTCACTAGCGATTTGTACTAATGGAAATTTTTTTCTTCCAACTTCCTCGCAACCGTCAAAATCGGAGGCAGTTGTTGACAAGAACTCAGAGCTAGTTTCCAGAATAACATATGGCTTATAAAAGACCCTCTTTCGAAAATGTGAATGCTTGGGGCAGGGTAACATGCGAAAGTGAAGCTCAGTTGTGTTCATCCTCAGAAGCTGCTAAAATCACCTGAAAGGTCTTGCGAAAAACATGTTGAGGTACCGAATGTTGTCTTGGATCCACGAGCATTCTGCTCAGTGACCGCTTGTTCTCCATTATAGTTGGGCTACCTATTATGCCTTCAAGTCCCTCAAAGCGACTCTGGACGCGTTCCCCGGTTACTGGAGTAAGGAGTTTACCTTCATCCTCCCAGGGATCTGACCCGACGGGCTTCCTTATGTGGTGGTGTTGAAGAGCGAGATATCACTTCACCAACACTTCTACAGCTCGGTAGATTCGAAGTAGATCCGAAGTTAGCGCTTCAGAAAAAGTATGTAGGACGACATCGCCGTTGGCTACCTGCGGCGCACTGCTGATTTTGTCGTTGGACGTCAGAAGGCCTCTCTCAAAGCAGAGTCGTCAAACCTACAGCACCTTCTTGTACAAGTGATCACATAGCTCAAATCTATCTTTCCATCAAGTTGGATTCAAGAATCCAATCCATTTCTTGGATTTACACACAAAAACATGGCGTCCTATACTTTTCAGCCACCTGTGAATTGTTTCGCCTTTACTGCTGTTGCGCATTTCGCTAATAGTTTCCTCTCATGATTTCTGCCAGGTTTTACTGGTATGACTCTTATCACTTTCACTAAATGTGGGTGTTTCATCAAGCTAGCTCTATCGTGTGCCAGCAGCAAAATGTGGCCGATGGTGGAACAAATTGAAAACATTTCATTCTGACGCCCCTTGTCAGCCTTTATCTCGTGTGATCAGTTTTTGTCACCTATGTATTAATCATATCCCCTTTTCACTCAGTATTACCAGGGCGGAAGTGGTGTAGTGGCAAGTGGCACGCTTACCACGCGAGCGGTCCGGGGATCAAATCCTGGGTCGTGAGTCGCCCGGGCCAACCAAGCCTTCCATCCCTCCGGGGTCGGTTAATTGGTACCAGACTTGTCTGGGAGGATAAAAACACTGACTTGTACATCGGCTGGCCCCGCAAGTCATTGTATAGGCCACATCGCATTCAAACGCCACTACGAATGTACAAATGGAAGTAGAATGCGTGCCGCATCCCAAAAAGGGATTGATCAACGGCAAATGCTTTATCCTCTTTATCCTTATATGTGCAAATACTCAGCGCTAACGCGACGAAGGAACCATAAAATTGCTTTGTTTCTTTCATCTTTCTTGTTTGTGTTTGCCCTCAGGTTCCCAACAAGTTTTAATTACTGCGCCAAAAACGAATATTTTTGAAGTGGTTTGAAATGCAAGTTACATGAAAATATGCACTGCGACGCACAATCTTACCTCCACCTACAAATTTCCCAAAAACCTGCATCTGAGGGAGTTTTCGAGAAACTTTCAAGAAACGGATTGTGATACATTTACACAGTTCTAAATATCAACACAAAGCTTCAATTTAAAAAAGCAACAATTTTTTATCTACATTGTTTTAAAATACTCGCTCTGCCTATGGCGCAAAATCATAGTTCCACCACATGTTTCTCCGCTGCATTTTGCTTTTACCCAATCAAATTTTGAAATTATTCCCCTTTAGTTCCTTAGCTTATTTAAAGCGAAACCGCTGCCAGACTTCCGTAAAAGGGAAAATCCTAGCAAAAGAGGCGCAGGAATTGTCAAAGTGTCAGTTCACGCTGGAATTTGGTCGGGAGTCACCACATAACATATCAAGGAATTTCGCTGAGCATCCTACAGTATATGATACTGTAAGGAACTCTGATTACTATCTGACTGAGATAAGCGCCGAATCATAAGAAAATAATACAACTTTATCAAGCCGGGTACGGAAATCAAATTTTCTTCAAAAGTGAATATCTCAATGGGCGCAGTTTAACTTTCAATTTGGCGCTTTCCAAAACGCTCATGATAGTCCGTGTCCGGAGAATGAGATACTTTTTTATTTTATTTGTGGAAAAACGAGCATTTTTTCTTACAAGTTTCGCCAAGTCGAGTGAAGTGGCGACACTCATTGTCATTTTTTGATTTGTGTCTTTCTTTCTCTTAACGTTTTTCTTTCTCAGATCGGTTTTTTACTTCGTAGTGAACATGTGTGGAGAAGAAAAATATCAGGAGTATGGTCAAAAACTTCAAAATATCACACTTAAAAAATGTTACCACTTCGCTCGACTTGGCGAAACTTGCCAAGAAAAAAGGCTCGTTCCTCTCTCTCTTCCTTCACAAGAAGTATTGTTCTTTTTTCTCAGACATGGAACTATCATGAGCGTTTTGGAAAACACGTTAAACTGCGCCATTGAGACATTAACTTTGAAGAAGTTTTGATTTCCGTACCCGGCTTGATAAAGTTGTGTTATTTTCTTATGATTCGGCGCTTAAAGGCAAAAGTCAGGCTCGTGTTTCGGCATTATGGCGCCTGAAATTGAGTTTAGAGATGGGAGGTGGAACGACAGTGAAGAAAAAACGAAAAAAAAACCGTCGACAAGACCGAAATCGAAACCCCTTCCCTTCTAGCAGTGAAGGAGGCTTGCTGGGGAGAGCACGTCCAAACGAGTTTTCTGGATATGCCAGCCGTTCCATCGGTTGATACGGCAATCAACCTAGCTGATCTCACACGTTAGGCCAGCCACGCACCACATCCCGCGGTGTGCTGCCGGAAATTCTCGCAGCACGGCAGCACACAATGCAAGGCCCTAGCGCCTTTGCCGCGCACTTCTTTGTCGCGACAGCCTCACACCCCCTCTGCTTGGAGACCCCACTTTGCACCCTATAAAGGACTTCCTAATGTTCCCTAATCCTGACTCGTGGCTTTACTCAAGCCAGCTATTAATTTGGGTTCCTTACAGTATCATATATTGTGGTATACTTGACGGAATTGTTCGTTGTCTGTCCCCGACCAAATTGCAGCGCAAACTGACGCTTCGGCCATTCCTGCGCCTCTTTTGCTAAGATTTTTCCTTTACGGAAATTTGACGGTGCTTCAGCTTTTGCCATGATCTAAGTAATCTGAAGTAAAAATTCTGAATGGGTAAAAATAAATTCAGTGGAGGAACATGTGAACTTTAGTTTCGCCCATGGCAAAACAATAGTTATAAAAAAATTGTTCTCTTTTGGAATTGGAGATTTGTGTGATAGTTAGAACTGCGTTTATCTGTACCACAATTTTTTTCTAGAACCTTTTTGAAAAAATGTTCAGATGCGAATTTTGGGAAATTTGTAGGTGGAAGTAATAGTATGCGTCGCACTGTAGAATCACTTCATTATATAAACCAGAACTTTGGTGTGTCGGTTTGTCGGGTGTGTGTGTGTGTCGTTCTGTCCGTCCGGACCGACCGCTCACAAAACCAGGGAGTACGAAGGGCAACACTTCGTGATGTTGATGTCATGATCATGATAAACCCACAGCGGCTATATAAACACCGATCGAGCACACTCAGTCTCATTCTACATGGTGCTGCCGTGGCAGCCGGAATGAGCGGGGAGGGGGGCGGGGGAAGAAGAAAGGGCAAAGCAAGGAAGGCTGTGAAGGAGGGAGGGGAATAGCAGAAAGAAGGAGGGAAAGAGAGAGGAAAGAAGGGGAGACATGCGCTGTCATCGCAATGTGTGTCATGGCGGAGGAGGGAATAAGTAGTGGGGGGTAGGGGAGGAAGACTGAGAGAACGACCGTTTTTAAGGAGTAAGGTCTATATTCATGTTGACGTATTATTCTAACCTGATGTGGTGATTGTGATAACACCCACAATGGCTACAAAACACCGAACGAGCACACTCAGCCTCATTCTACATGGTGCTGCCGGGGCAGCCGGAGTCGGCGGGCGGTAGAGGGGAGGGGGAAAGCAGAAGGGAGGGAGGAGAGAGAAAGAGGGAGGGAAGGGGAGAGGAGAAAGGGAGGGAGAACATGGTGCTGCCATGCGCCGGAGAGAAGGGGTATAAGGAGGTATAACACATTCAATAGTGAGGTGGTTAATGGAGTACGTCATGCTGCTATTCTTGGTATACTTGACGGATGCCTCACTCCTTTGATAAGGCGCCACTGCCACTGAACTTCACGTGTTCTAACATTGGGCAGGACCCCTATCCACTCCAGTACACAGCTTTCCTTATCGTCCCTATGAGAATTATCGTGACCACTTCCCTTTGAGGTTAGGGGGTTGAGTAATAACATGGATGAACCTGCGAAATTTTTTGAAGCCAATGAAGGTCCGGCTTTCAGTTCGTTGGCTCAACGGTAAACAGCCTTTGGCAAGCGATGTTTCCTTATCTATGTGTGTTATCCATAACTCGTGTTCTGGTTATCAAGAAGAAGATGTCGCCTAGTCAACAGCTGTTACGACCTCTCAAGGTGAGGCAATCGTATTCTACTCTGAATGAAAATTGAACGAAGTAAAGTTGATTTTGTGTCGTTGATACCTAAAAGAAAAGCCGGATGAATTATTGCATTCAAGGTATTACTTACGTTGGGATGGACGTTCACCTTCTTTGTATGGTTGTGGTCATGGTTCGGTATGGCTTTCGTTTTTGGAGACATCGGATGGGAATACGATTTTTCGCAATGGAGCTCTATATACCTGAAGGTATAGAGATCTGTTCTGCATCAATAATTAAAAAAAATAATGCCTCAGGATCAAACTGGTGTGATTCTCAGGCACGGAAATGAAACATTGGTGAATGGGGCTGGCAGTAAAATGCAAAGGAGTTCGTCAAACGCCAAACCCAAGGGATTGCTCACTTTCGCGCTGAATTTATGAGAGATTGGACAAGGAGGGGAAATGATAGGCGGGAGAGCACAACGGACAAAAAAGCGCTAGACCCTAGCATGCTACGGACGAGGGAAAAAATGGAAGCGCTCGAAGCACTTGAAGGCACTAGCGCCCTTGTCGTATGATTTGGTGCCGGAAAAATCGGGTACCCCCAGGAGGCCCGTCGCGCGGCAAGAAGGCAAAGTCAGCGGACGAGTCGCGCGCGTACTATAGGGATTTCGCGTCAAGTTAAATAGAATGTCCCATTGCACGTCCTACGCACATCACGCGCTGCAACTCGTCCGCCGACTCTGCCTTCTTGCCGCGCGACGGGCCTCCTGGGGGGTACCCCGAAAAATCGGGTATATGCTTGAAGTGTATTCACCCACAAAAAATTAAAACTCACCCTGATTTGTGCCTTTGAATGATTTGGGAGACTTATCGAAGCAGAAAATCTTGAGTACAATTTTGCCTTCACTTTCTCTTAGATGGCAATAGAGTAATATATAATGTTTTATGATTGCTACGTATTTTACAAGCAGTGAGAACGTATACCTGGGACCAAGAACCAGTTTGTTCTAAAATGCTGTTTTCGCTCAAACTATGAAGATTTTCGATTTCAACGCACTCAAACAGAAGGCTATGATTCTTTCAATTTGAAATATTACATGTATCTCCTAAGATTATCGAGCTCGTATGGTGCTGGCCAGCCATATTTGTTTGTTACTTCCTACATCTCGGAATGATCTTGATAGTTACGGTGAGTCATAATCAATCCTTCTATTTTATAAAGCGCTAACTTTGTGTGTCGGTTTGTATGTCTGTATGTGTGTGTGTATGTATGTATGTATGTATGTATGTATGTATGTATGTGTGTCCGTCCGCAAAATGAAGTGAGTGAGAAGGAAGCTCATGGGATAAACAAACCGCTAACAAATCGGGTAGCTTACAGGATTTGAGATATCAATGTTTTGTAGCAGGATAGTTGTGATAACACTCTTAGGGCTATATAAACACCTGCTTAGCACACTTCCGTTCATTCCACATGGTGCTGCAGTGGCAGCTGGAGGGCAGTGGAGAGAGGAAGGGAGGATGAGGAAGGGAAGCGAAAAATCTACCGTCATATCATGATTGTGTCCCTTCTACTGTATGAAACACCATTGTGTTGCATACGCGTCACTTCCAGGAGGTGTTGGTGTCACAGGAGGAAGGGACCATAGCGGAGGATAGAAAGCTTGCGCAGGAAAGGAAGGTCCCGGCGGTTGACGGGGGACTAATCTGGTAAATAATAAATTATCCAATAATAAATTTATCCTAAGTAATAATAATAATAAATTTATCCATAAGAAGAATTTTGCCTTCCGACACTGATACTTTTACTGAAGGATTTTTCGAAGACATACCGAGGGGCACGGGCGACGACATCCGAGACTAATCATACATCCCTGCTTTATGACTCTACCATCTGTAGCATTCCGAAAACCTCGCACTTTATGATGTATTTGAGGAAAGAAGAAAAACAATTCAGGGTTTAAGGTATAGAATGCATACAATTATTGATATGTTCAGCCACAACTTATGAATCGACACCGTTTTCTTTCTTTTGAGATTTCTATGTGACCCTATTTAAGCGTGGGCCTGACACTTCTGTAGGGCTAGCGAAGATGGTGTAGAAGTTGGTGAGCAGATGACGTTGCACCTACATCTGCACCTACATTATCAGTTGGTCTAATTTATCTGCCTCTCTCCAATCATTATGTGGACCAAAAACCTACAAAGCGTACGTCTTATATGCAGAGCTTTCGCAGCAGCCTCTTTCACCTCTGGTAAATGAAAAATCCTTGAATTGCGGAAGTGATTGCAATTGTGTGGAATGTTTTGGAAGGGGAGGGATTTTGGTAGCCATAACGGCTCACTTCGTTCAAAAGAAGCGTTCGGGCGGTATATTTAAATGGGAGACTAATAGTCTGGAAGCGTAACCTACCGTCCAGATGCGGTTTCTTCAAGGAATTATTAGAAGGTTATGCATAATGCAAGAAAAGTCCCGAAAAAATGTTAGCAAACTTATGAACAAAAAAATTAAGGGTAGCAAACAGCACAATGGCTTCACTTCACACAGGCAAGAAAAGCTCATATTTTGTCAAGCAACGATTTTGAATGGATGGATGCTCGGCCTAATGGTAGCTTGGCATGGTTCAGGTGATTTAAGAATTTCTACATTAATCTTACCACTTTTCTTTTGCACATGACTCCTTCTTCAACAGCAACTAGTGACTGACTATATGTATAGTTGTGCTTTTTAAATATTTATAATCAAAAATAAAAAAGACGTTCTTTCCCAAAAGCAGGCTTCGCCTCTCTCGACTTGTGACTTCCCCCACCTTCGCACCTCAAAAGCATCAGGGCGGCGATCGCTAGTCTTGGGCTATTCTCCCCCAAGAGGATCAGTGCCCGCCCATTCTTCGACGCCTCATCTGTGTCGGCAATGTTCACCCGTTATCCCTTGAAGGAGTTTGTTTCCCTTTCCGCAAATAGCATTATCTCTTATCTCGGGGAAGTTGATGGTGATGCATTGGTAATGGAATGGTTGGTAATAAACTTCCGAGGAACCTTTGCTTACCATGTCGCAGATGCAGCCACATTTATTATGATAACAGCTGCAAAGCCCGCTCGGCTCGCAAATAAGCAACTACTAGCAAACTGTAGAGCTCTTAAGCCTCAAATTATTACCGATTCGTGGTGAGGTGATACTAGTGAAAGCACCCAAAATGGCATACAAGCATGTGCTGAGCACAGTGTCTGCATGGTGCTGTCATGGCAGCCGGATGGGAGGGCAAAGGAACTAACCACTAAAAGTGACGCTAAGGTGATTTTTGAGGTACTCTTCTATGTATAATGGTGGTGATTACGATAAACCGTTCCAACTGTTATTTGGGCATCCACCTAGCATAGTTTCTATTGTCGTGGTATCGTTCCAACTGGAGGAGAATGGAGTGAGGAAAGGGAGAACGGAACGTACCGCCAACTATGTTGTGCTTTAGATTAGAGTCAAGAGTTCCAGTGGCTGTGATGAGGTCCGCTGCTATGCAAGTATTACTTCGTATATGCATCCTCACTAAGGTGTTGACCTCAGAATTGCAGGAGGCGTAAAGCATACACACGGAAATATAGGTCCAGGCAAATGCCGATTTTTTGTGGTGAATTCAAAACAGGTGAGTGCTATCGAAGGTCAAAAAATGCATAGAATGTAAAGTGCAAGTTTCCGGAGTGCAAATTTATGAAAGTGTTGGAGCTTTTTTTAGATATCCTAGGGCTAACAAAAAACTATCAGCTATGCATAATCAATTGCGTGTGGATCCTCTTCTCCTACGTCAATCCACTACTGCTGTTTGTGCTGAACAGGTAAGTAAAGTGAGTCGCACTTTATGGCTCCATTGTCATTTCGCGTAGGTGTAAAATTCCAGGACAGTGCGCCGTAAAGTTATGCAGTTTATCAGTTCGAATCACATGTGCGGCAAGGTAAGCGACAACTTTTCAACTCTTAACACATTCACGCTGAAAGCAGCCATACGGCCTGCCAAAAGGAGGGTGCTCGTGGGAAGATAGCAGCATACATGAGCTGCTAACCAGTAATCGTTAGCCACCCGTTTATATGACCATTTTTCGGGTATATCTGATGTGATCGAATGAAAAAGGAGCGTATCCGTAAACGACAGGATGGAGCCTGAGGACGAAGAATGAGTGCGTGTAAGAGGTTCTGGCACCTTTGTTGCACACTCAGGAAGGTGCAAAAGATCGGCACCCACTCCCTCAAGCTACCACGATCGACTACGGAAGTGGTGAATGTGCCCGATTCTGAAGCTGCTTAGAGCATAATCATAAGTTATGAAGGTGCACCTCCAACTGCATATGCTTGAAAACCAGCTGCCCAAAATTATCAGTTTTTCTTGATCTACATATGTCCTTGAACCGCAATAAACTGCATTAAGTATTTTCATAATAGGGCTGTGATCTGTTATTGTGTATAATTAGGATATCGTCATATATCTGAAAGGTTTTAGTTGTAGTATTCAGTGTTGTTATAATTGAGTAGATGTATTCGAAATATGATAAGGTGAGATCGGCTAACAAAGGGTCAACATTACTTCCTTCGTGGTACTCCACTTTTTGTATAAACAGAAATTCAGGAAACTTACACTAACTGCTTTCCAAAAGGTAATTTGGTAGGAGCAATTGTAAGCGAGATCTCCATTATTGAAGCAGGAAATAGACGCACATGCAATGTGTTTCAACGAGAAAGCCGCGGTGATTCCTCGCAGGTGATTTCCTAAGCTTGCTGAAAATCGAAAGCAGTACTAGGTATGTGACGTTAGCAGGGAGTGGTTTCAGTGGAGAAGCATACACCATTCGTTGAAGGATACAAATAAATACGTCAGTGGTATAAAGGGACGTTGGGAAAGCATGTAATTCTCGAAAAATTGTTTCGATCGCTAATTACTTTGGGCCATCTTACAAATTCATGAAAAAATTTTCATTTCATTTTTCATTTTCTCTTTTTTTCATTTTCAAATTTCAGATGCGTATACTTCGATGATACACATATTTGTGGTTTTCATTGCACAACGCCGAAACTTCCTAGAACTTGAAGACGTCCGAAGCGAATATTAACGTGCTGAACAATTGTGTCAGAAAGAAGAGGCTGTTAGAACTAAAGGCCTCTTCCAGAACTAAATGAAGTGCTGTGATCATGAAATGCTCATCCTACGCAATTTTCTCTTCATTACAGCGAATAAATCTGTGGATGTATCGTTTGCCGTTATCGGGTGCACATATGACAAAAGACATGTTTGAGAGCCCATAATCGACGAAAATGTGTAGACAAATCAGAAACTTTGGTGGAATGCTGGCAGCATTTAAGTGCTCCTTTCATAAGCATATCTCTTGATCATTATGCAGTTCTTCTTTTCACTTTACCTATGCTCCTTGCAACGAAAAGGTTGACGACGATTTCTCGTTAGTATATATAATTTATTCACCCTTGGCTTTTGCTTATTTGTAACAACCAGTTGGGCTGCGCACGATACCGAGCGCGAGAGACGGCTGCGGTGAGTAGATGACTTGTGGGGGATGATACTGACCCGAGTTGCGCAATACATATGCAATCATACATGAACGTATAGAATTTTGGTTGCTGCGACCTCACCCAGTGAATAGTGTGAGAGGTGACCAATTCCGACCCCTAGGGGAAAACCTATGTATATATAATCCGTATCGGTTGATAGCTCAGAAGTTTTCAACAACAACACTTATGGCAATCAAATCCCGAGCTCCCGAAATACTTTTTCGGCTTTTCGAACCGTTTCAGAAAAGAGTTATAAATGCAGAGGGATACCCATCTACACCCCGCCAGCTGAGCGATGCTTAGCCAATTGAAGGGTATTTCATGCCCAGAATAAATAGTTCATGTCTGCCATTCTACTTTTGCATTGTGCATATGATGATGAAGTCACGGATTTTTTGTCAGGCATCCTCAATTCAGGTAAGAATGTTGGAGAGTTTGTAGGCATTCTCGGGTTGTCTTACTTTCATGTATTTGGGTATCTGGAACATGGCAGAAGTGTTGCTGATGGGAGTGTTCTGGGTATTGGGGGTCTAGGTATAACGTGAAAGGGAGGAGAAAGAGGGTGGAAAAGTGGGAGAAGTTAAGACAATTGATTGTTTTTCTCGTTTCAAGGCTGTTTAACACCGCCATCCCAGTTTTTGATGATTTGTGGCGAAAGAAGTTATCAAGCGTGAAAGTTTCCAAATTCGAGGATTTTCCCGTTTCATCAGAGGTATGCTTGCCCCCCCTCGCCGATGGTCTGGGGTTTTGGAGAGGAAAATGGAGTGGAACTGAAGTGGGTCGAGTGGTCTCAGAAATCAAGTACTATACAAACTGTGAACCTGAAGATGGCGTCGGGGAATGGGATATGTCAAGTCTTTGTAATTCTGCTCTGCCTCATTTGCTCATACTCTACCCATTCCAAACTTGACCCGCCCTCCCTAGGTGATTTTTGAAGGAAGAATTATAAACATGTGGGGGACACTTGCGAATTTTTGGGGAGCGGTCAGACAAACAAACTCTGGTTTATATAATAGTATGATAGGGGGGTGATCTATGGTCTATTCAACCAACATTTCCTGGTTTTTTGGATGTTTTTGGACGAAAAACGGCTATTTTTTCACGAAAATTTTTACTTCAAGCGCACGCCCCGCCCACAGGAGGCGGAGTTTCTTATGGCCAATACATTCATTTAATAGAGCGGTGTGTGCCTTATTTAGGCCTTATTTTTCATGACCTTTGGGATGTCCAGAGAGCAAAAATTTCAATTTTTTCAACGAAATTTCGATTTTTGACGCACGCCCCGCCCACTGGGGGTGGAGTTTAGCATGGCCAATATGTTCCCCTTATAGAGCGGTAAGTGCCCTATTAAGGCCTTATTTTTTCCCTGTCTTTAGACTGTTCTGAAGCCAAAAACTGCAATTTTTTCACCAAATTTTTTCATTTCGACGCACGCCCCGCCCACTGGAGGCGGAGTTTAGCATGGCCAATATATTCCCCTTAGAGAGCGACTCATACTCTACCCATTCCAAACTTGACCCGCCCTCCCTAGGTGATTTTTGAAGGAAGAATTATAAACATGTGGGGGACACTTGCGAATTTTTGGGGAGCGGTCAGACAAACAAACTCTGGTTTATATAATAGTATGATAGGGGGGTGCTCGTATAACCCACTTCAATTAGCATGAACAACTTTTGAGATGTTAGTAATTCTGCTGTAATTGTACCCTGTGCTGAGCCCGAGGTAAGTGCGACAAGAGCTCATAAATCGGCTCTGAGATGACTTAGAAACCGGAAAACAGTGGATACAGGTTAGGAGAAGAGGAGAAGCTAAATGTCAAGGCTGGGCGTGGCTTACATCAAAGTGGGCGGAGTTTGCAATTAGGCCTCATAACTCGGTTCCTAGGAGTCCCGGGGTCCGGGAAAAAAGCGGATAAGGGTTGGCAGAGGGAAAGGGGTCAACCTGCTGTTGGCGGGCGGAGCATGCACCAAAGTGGGCGGGGTTTGCCACGAAACTTCATAACTCGGTTCCAGGAAGTTCCGGAGATGGAAAGAAGTGGGTTGGAGGTTGAAGAAGAGAAGAAAGTCAACTGCTATCGGAGGGCATGCACCAAAGTGGGCGAAGTTTCCCACGGAGATATATAGCTCGATTTTGCTTCCCACACAAAACCTCATAATTCCGCCTGTAATGCCATTAGGGACCAAAAACATGTAAAAAAAAAAACAGAATTAAAGACGAGGAGGAGAGGTATAATGTATAGCGCACGGGGCGTGCAACACCTTGACGTGCTACCGACTCCGTGATAACTCGGTTCGCCAGAACGTCGCCGGGACAGCGAAAAATGTGATAGGGTTGACGAAAGGAATGGGTTTGAATGCTATTGGTGGGCTAAGCATGCGCTAAAGTGGGCGAGCTTGCCAAGAAAATTCATGAATCATTGCCTCTCTCCTACAAGATCTCATAACTCGGCGTCGAGATGACTCAGAGACCCGGAAAAGGTGTGTAGAGGTTAGAAGAGGGGAGAGTCAAATGTAAGCTTCCTGGAGAGGTGAAAAAGTAGATCGAGTGTGAAAGCAGAACGGACGCAACTGCAATTAGTGGTGGGAGCGTGTATCATATAATTCAGTTCCAGGAATTCCTGGAGACCGGGAAAAAAGTGGTCAAAGGGTCAACGGAGGGAGGTCAACACCATTGGTGTTTGGAGCATGCACGAATGTGTGTGGGGTTATTGACAAAACATTACGACTAGGTCCCTAGATGTCCCGGAGACCGGGAAAATGGTAGAAAAATTACGACAACGAAAGGGGAACAACAGTGAAAGGGTGGGTGGGAGAAGCGGACGAGGTGGGCGCATTGCTAAGATAAGCCTCACAAAAACATTACATCTGGCAAGTCTGTTTTACTGCGGTACCGTGCGATGCACGCGAATGCGCAGCTGAACTGGTGTATTATGATGAAGTAGATTGGAATCAAGAAGGAAATGATTCAATACTGGAAGATTAAAAAAAACAAACCGCGGGATGTTTCCCCGCCGATTCCGCCCCCCTTTTGCGTATTCGCAGCAAGGGCAAGCGTGTCTTTTTCCTGCATTATTTAACATGCTTGACCTGAGTACCATCCCATGTGCTCCTGAGGTTTGTAAGGAGGGACGACATAGGTAAGAGAAGGCCATGTAGGATGTGGCTTTTTTGCCTGCAACAGTGTTCGCTTGTTGTTACCCACTGAGTGCGTCAGCAGCTTGTACGCGCAAGCGTGAATCATGGGCAATTGTGGGCGATGCGTTTTCCATGTTTTGTGC